TATAACTTACTCTCCCCACCAAGCCAATTAGATAATATCTCAAATGCAACAGAAGAGGAAATAGCAACAGAAGAGGAGATAGTGGATTGAGTATATGTCATAAAGTCACACAACTAAGCATAGGGTAGTAATGATAACTTAGAAATAATAGCATCAAATGAGAGTTTGTTTCCATCTAATAATGGAGATTGGGAGATAGCATTCAGTGTCGAGGAATTATGACATACAGTTTCTTCTGAATTAAAGCTTTTTTGATTTGGAATGTTTTCAAATGCAAGCAACAGAATATTTGGCTCATGGTTGCTTAAGCAAATAGCATCTTCCCTCTCCTCTCTCTCCCTCCCTCCCTCCCTCCCTCCCTCTCTCTCTCTCTCTCTCTCTCTCCCCCCCCATTGGCATATGCATGCATGCATGCATGCATGCGTACGCACACACACACATACACACACACAAAGAGAAGGAGAGCAGTCCAGGGCAACTGAAGATGTTTAACAATATTCTGTGGAAATAGGCTCCTATTTTTCCATTCTACCATCCTTATGTGGAATCATTTTGCTCTTGGCCCCTCGGTCCTACACTATATTAGACATTATATTTATGTTCAAGGAACGGAGTGGGTGCAAGGGCAATGAAGCCAAGGTTTGGCCTGCTTAGTCTATTTTTGTTTGGTTTTGTTTGGTTTTGTTTTGGTAAGGAAAGCAAAACCTGAGAAGCTTTACTCAGCACTGCCACCTGCTACTTTTTTCTTTCTCTTCTTTTTTTCCCACTTTTATTGAGATATAATTGGCTTACAGCACTGTATGAGTTTAAGGTGATCAGCATAATGATTTGACTTATATACACCATGAAATGATTATGATAATGATATTTGTGGTCTTTTTGATGATAGTCATCTGACAGGTGTGAGGTGGTATCTCATTGTTGTTTTAATTTGCATTTTTCTGATGATTAACAATGTTGAGCATCTTTTCATATGTTTGTTGGCGATCTGTATGTCTTCTCTGGAAAAATGTCTACTCACATACTCTGCCCATTTTTAGTCAGATTGTTTTATTTATGTTGCGTTGTGTAAGTTCTTTGTACATTTTGCATTTGAACCCCTTATGAGATATATCATTTACAAATATATTATTTCATTCAGTAGGTGGCATTTTTATTTTGTTGATGATTTCCTTCAGTGTGCAAACAATTTTTTTAGTTTGATATGGTCCCATTTGTTTATTTTTGCTTTTGTTTCCTTTGCCTGAGAAGATATATCCAAAAAAATATTACTAAGACTCGTCAAATAACTTACTGCCTAAGTTTTCTTCTAGAAGTTTTATGGTTTCAGATCTTATATTTAAGTCTTTAATGTACTTTGAATTTATTTTCATGCATGGTGTGAGAGAGTAGTCTAGTTTGATTCTTTTACATGGAGCTGTCCAGTTTTCCCAACACCATTTATTGAAGAGGTTATCTTAGCCTCATTGTATATTTTGGTTCCTTCGTCATAGATTAATTGCCTATATGAGTGTGAGTTTATTACTGGGCTGTTTGGTTCCATTGACCTATGTGTCTGTTTTTGTTCCAGTACTATACTCTTTTGTTTACTGTAGCTTTGTAGTGTAGTTTGAAATCACAAAGTGAGATAACAACTTTGTTCTTCTTTCTCAAGATGGTTTTGGCTATTGGGTTTTTTGTGTTTCCATATTTTAGAATTATTTGTTCTATTTCTGTAAAAAATACCATTGGTATTTTGATAGGAATTGCATTGAATCTGTAGATTGCTTTGGGTTGTACGGTCATTTGAACAATACAAATTCTTCTAATACATGAACATGGTAAAGTTTCCATCTATTTGTGTCATCTTCACTGTCTTTCATCAGTGTCTTATAGTTTTCTTAGTACAGGTATTTTATATCCTTAGTTAGATTTATTCCTGGGTACTTTACTCTTTTAGATGAGATTGTAAATAGAATCATTTTCTTAATTTTTCTTTCTGGCAGTTGTTAGTTTTTAGAAATACAACAGATTTCTGTATATTAATTTTGTATTCTGCAACTTTACCAGATTCAGTGATGAGCTCTAGTAGTTTTCTGGTTGCATCTTTAGAATTTTCTATGTTTAGTATCATGTCAACTACAAGCAGTGGCAGTTTTCTGTCTAATTTGGATTTCTTTTTTTTCATTTTCTTCCGATTGCTGTGGCTAGGACTTCCAATACCATGTTGAAGAAAAGTGGTGAGAGGGATCATCCTTGTCATGTTCCTTATCTTAGAGGAAATAATTCATCTTTTCACCAACGGCTGAGATTTTTATCTGTGGAGTTGCCGTATATGGCCTTTATTTTCTTAAGGTGTATTTCCCCTATAACCACTTTTTTGAGAGTTTTTATCATGAATAGATGTTAAATTTTGCTGAAAGATTTTTCTGAATCTATTGAGATGATTTTTATCCCTCAGTTGTTAATGTGGTATATAGAATTTATAAATTTGCATATGTTTAACCATCCTTGCATACCTGGGAGAAATCCCACTTGATCATGGCGTATGATCCTTTTAAGGTATTGTTGAATTTCATTTGATAATAGTTTGTTGAGGATTTTTACATCTATGTTTATCAGTAATTTTCTTTTTTGTAATATTTTTGCATGATTTTTGTATCAGAATCATGCTGGTCTTGCAGAGTAAGTTCAGAAGAATTCCGTGCTCTGCAATTTTGGGGATTAGTTTGAGAAAGAGAGGTGTTCACTCGTCTCTAAATGTTTGGAAGAATTCACTTCTAAAGCCATCTGGTCCTGAACTTTTGTTTGTTGGGATATTTTTAAATTACTGATGAAATTTCATTATTGGTAGTTGATCTGGTCATATTTTCTGTTTTTTCCTAGTTCAGCCTTGGGAGATTTTACATTTCTAGAAATTTGTCCATTTCTTCTAGGTTGTCCATTTTATTGGAGTATAATTGTTCATAGTAATCTCTTAAGATCCTTCATGTTTCTGTGGTGTTGATTGTAACTTCTCCTTTTTCATTTCTGAATTTATTGATTTGGACAATCTCTCTCTTTTTCTGGGTAAAGATTTATCAATTCTGTTTATCTTTTCAAAGAATCAGCTCTCACTTTCACTGATCTTTTCTATTGTTCTTTTAGTCTCTATTTTATTTATTTCTGCCCTGATCTTTATAATTTCTTTTTTTCTACTAAATTTAGGTATTAGTTGTTCTTTTTCTAGTTCCCTTGAACTAGAAAACTAGTTCCAGGTTTTGAACTGGAACTTGAACTAGGTCCCAGGTGTAAGGCCTGGTTGTTTATTTGAGATAAGCTTGTATCACTATAAACTTCCATCTTAAAACTGCTTTTGTTGCATCCCACAGATTTTTGAATTGCTGTCTTTGTTTTCATTTGTCTCCATGTATTTTTTATTTCTTCTTTGATTTCTTCAGTGATTTATTTTTTGTTTAGTAGTATATTGTTTAGCCTCTACATGTGTGTGTTTTTTTGCTTTTTTTTCTTGTAGTTGATTTCTAGTCTCATAATATTGTGGTTGCAAAAGATGCTTGATATAATTTCAGTTTCCTTATATTTACTGAGAATTGTTTTGTGGCCTAGCATGTGAGATATCCTAGAGAATGTCCCATGTGAGCTTGAAAAGAATATGTATTCTGCTGCTTTTGGTTGAATGTTCTATTTACATCTATTAAGTCCAATTGATCTAATGTGTCATCTGAGGTCAGTGTTTTATTACTGATCTGTCCATTGATGTATGTGGGATGTTAAAGTTCCCTATTATTGTGTTACTGTCAATTTCTCACTTTATGTCTATTAATATTTGTTTTATGTACTTAAGTGCTCCTATGTTGGGTGCATTATGTTTACAATTGTTATATCTTCTTCTTGGATTGATCCCTTGATCATCACATAATGTCCTTCTTTGTCTCCTGTTACAGTCTTTGTTTTGAAGTCTATTATGTTTGATATAAGCATTGCTACCCCTACTTTCCTTTCATTTCCATTTGCATGGAATACCTTTTAGCATTCCCTCACTTTCAGTCTCTGTGTGTCTTTAGATCTGAAGTGAGTCTATTGTAGTCAGCATATACATGGGTCTTGTTTTTGTATCCATTCAGCCACTCTGTGTCTTTTGATTGGAGCATTTAGTCAATTTACTTTTAAAGCAATTAATGCTAGGTATGTACTTATTGCCATTTTGTTAATTGCTTTTGGATTGTTTATGTAGTTCTTTTTTATTCCTTTCTTCTTTTGTTCTTCTTCCCTTGTGATTTGATAATTATCTTTAGTATTTTGTTTGGATTCCTTTCTCTTTTGTATGTGTGTATCTAATATGGATTTTTCGTTTGTGGTTACCATGCAAATTTATATAGAGCAGTGTGTGTGTGTGTGTGTGTGTGTGTGTGTGTGTGTGTGTGTGTGTGATTATTTTAAGTGGCTCATGTCTTAAGTTCAAATGCATTGTAACAACTCTGAATCTACTCCCCTCCCATGTTTACTGTTTTTGACATCCTATTTTACAGCTTTTTGTTTTGTGTATACCTTAACTACTTATTGCAGATATAGACGACTTTACTACATTTTTCTTTTAACCTCCCTGCTAACTCTTTACATGCTTGATTTACTACTTTTGCTGTATATTTGCCTTTAACAATGAGCTTTTTACTTTCATAAATTTTATTTTTCTAGTTGTGGCCTTTCTTTGATTAGAGAAGTCCCTTTAACATTTCTTGTAAAGCTTATTTCCTGGTGTTAAACTCTTTTAGCTTTTGCTTGTCTGTAAAACTTTTGATCTCTCAATCAAATCTGAATGAAAACCATGCTCTGTAGCGTGTTCTTAGTTGTAGGGTTTTCCTTTTCATCACTTTAAATATATTCTACCACTGCCTTCTGGCCTGCAGAGTTTCTGCTGAAAGTCAGTAGATAACTTTATTGGAATTCCCTTGTACATAACTTGTTGCTTTTCCATTGCTGCCTTTAGTAGTTTATCTTATTTTTTTGTCATTTATTTACAGTGTGTCTTGGTGTGGTCCTCTCAGCATTGATCATGTTTGGTACACTCTATAATTCTGGGACCTGGATATCTGTTTCCTTTCCCAGGTAAGAGAAGTTTCCATTTATTATGTCTTCAAATATGTTCTCTGCTCCTTTTTCTCTTCTTTGCCTACTGGGACCCCTATAATGTAAATATTAATAGCTTAATGTTGTCCCAGAGGTCTCTTAAACTGTCCTTATTTCTTTTTATTTTTATTTTATTTTTTCTTCCTGTTTAGCGTCAGGGATTTCCACTACCTTGTCTCCCAGATTGCTGATCTGTTCCTCTATATCATCTAATCTGATGTTGATTCCTTCTAGAGTATTTTTTCTTTCAATTATTGTATTCTTCATTTCACTTTGGTTCTTTTTTATATCTTCTAATTCTTTGTTAAAAACATGTAACTTCTCATTCTGTTCATTTAATCTTCTCTTAGGTTCTTTAAGTATCTTTATAATCATTACCTTGAAATCTTATTAGGTAGATAGTTTATCTTCTCTTATTTTAGTTCTTTTTCTGGGGTTTTATCTTGCTTCTTCATTTGGAACATATTCCTCTGTCACTTCATTTTGCCTGATTTGCTGTTTTTATTTCTATGTATTTGGAGGTTTGTTTGTGATTCCTGATCTTGAAGAAGTGGCTTTTTGTAGAAGATATCATGTGCATCCAAGCAGTGAACTCCTCTTTTGTCACCAGAGCTATGTGCTCTAGCCGTGCACCCTCTGTGGGCTGCATGGGTCCTTCTCTTGTGGGAGTCTGAATACTGTGGGTGGTCTGGTATGTGTGGCAGGCCCCCAGTTTGTTTGGTTGCCAAGTCCTGCCTTGTGCTGTGGCTGCTGGTACACAAGGCCAATTCATGAGGTAACTCACTGCGGAGTCCCGAGGGTCACAGGTCTATTGCTGGTCCACTGGTGGGCAGAGCTGAGTCCTGGGATGGATAGTTGCAAGACTGGATTTCCTGGATCTAGTGTCAGCCTGCTGGTGTGTGAGGCCAGTTCCTGAAATGGCTGTCTATGCAGCCTGTGGGGCTCATATCTGGTGTTGGTCACTGTTGAGTGTGGCTGGATCCTGGGGCAGCTGACTGAGGGATCCAAGGTGTCTTGAAGCTGGTGTTGGCTTCCTGGTGGGTGGAGTTGGGGCCTGGGGGGGATTCCTGGGCTGGTGTTGGCCTACTGATGGGTAGGGCCAGAGCTCAGGGGGTCCCTGGGCTAGTCCTGGCCTTCAGGTAGGTGGACTGGGTGCTAACATGGCAGGCTGCAGTGCTGTGGTGGTCTTGGAAATGCTGTCTACCTGCTGGTGGATGGGGCTGTGAATCAGGTGATCCTGGGGCTGGTACCTGTCCACTGGTGATAAAACTGGGTCCTGTCACTCGTGCTGGCCCACTGGTGGGTGTAGCCAAGTCCTGTGGTCTCTGGCTGATGTCCTAGGCCCCGTGATGGATGGGGCTAGTTCTTGTGGCCACTGTGGGCTCAGGCAGTCTTAAGACAACTGGCCTGCTGATGGGTGGGACTGTTTCCCCATCCACTAGTTGCTTGGTCTGAGCTATCCCAGTAATGGTTCTGACAGGTTGGTGGGTAGGGCTGCATTCCAGCACTAATAAGCTAGGGGGAGAATTCCAAAATGGTGTTTGCCAGCAATAGTATCCTCATAGGAGAACAAGCTCCAAAAAATGGCTGCCACCAGCGTCTGTGTCTCCAGGGTGAGCTCTAGTTGCCTCTCGCCTCTCTGGGTGTCTCCCCAGAATCAGCACGTGGGTCTGACCCAGGCTCCTTTCAAATCATTACTTCTGTCCTTGGTCCTGGAGCATATGAGATTTTGTATGTGTCCTTTAAGAGTAGAGTTTCTTTCCCCCATGGCCTTCTGTATCTCCCCAAAATAATCCCTGCTAGCCTTCATAGCCACATGTTCTGGGGGGATTGTCTTCCTGGTACAGGACCCCTGGGCTGGGGCGCCCGATGTGGGCCTCTTGCTCCTCGTGCCTTGGAGAGAACTTCTGCAATTTTAATTATCTTCCTGTTTTGCAGGTTGCCCACCCAAGTATGTGAGACTTGACTCTACTGCATCTCTGCCCCACCTACCTGCTTCATTATGGTTCCTTCTTTATATATTTAGATGCAGGTTTTTTCTAGTCCTCTGGTCTTTCTCATCAATATTTTCTCTGTAAATAGATGTAATTTTGGTGTGTCCATGGCAGGAGGTGAACTCAGGGTCTTCTTACTCCACCCTCTTGGCCACTCTCACCTGCTACTTGTTAATACATGAATATTTGGAGACAATTTCCCATGAGTCTCTTATGATTTTGCACGTTTGCAAAGGCACCAACAGTGTTTTGTTACATAAAATCGTTCAAAGGTATTTATGGAGGAAATAGCTTTGGGAAGTAGAATCTCCCAGAAGAGCAGAGGGCACGTTTGTGTGTTATCCAATAAGATCAATATAATATACTATATCTACTATATCAATATATCTACTTCTGGGATAAAGGACAGTCATATTTGATTGCAGCTTTTATAAAAGGTTGAGGTTTCCTAGGCTCAGAGTGCCTCTTCTGTAATGCAACCCGCTGTGTGTTCTGGGTTCTCTTGACTATTACTGTATTTCCTGTAGGAGCTGAGGCTTGTGGAATCTGTGAGAATGACTCTACCTTGGCACCCTAGCAACCTTGCACATTTCTATGTAGACCACATAGGCAAGACTTGACTTCAACTTGACTAAGTCTTTGCAGAATGCCCTGTGATCCTCCTGGTTAATGAGATCATGATGTTTGTGAAGAGCTGTTAAAAGGCCATTTTCTACTTGCTTCCCATTTCCCCTGGGATACTGTCATGAGACATTTGTTCTTAGTCTTCCAGTTTCTGAGGAGCTATGAGGCTGTCTGCATTGCCTCCTTAGGGTACTGCTGCAGACTCTGAGACTGCTTAGCTACAGCATGACATCAGCTCCTCTGCAAAAGGGGTTCCCAACACTCATGCTGTATAGTCATGTCATCTGTCTCCTTTTGTTTCAGTGCTATCCTAAGGGACAGATGACATAGACACAGGCACCTTTACTTCTCTCTCTTTTTGCTACCTATGTATGTGATGAACAGTCATAATTTTAATAGGGCTTTCCCTTTTGTTATTGGTCAAGTTTTACAGCCTTGCATTGGTAAAGAATCAGTACAAGAAAATGATACTCTGGCTACTGCTATTTTGTGAAAAATAATTGTCCTTTTTCTTTGATCCAGAAGATTTGTGTCTTCTACCAGCATCCAATAAACTGTGACAGGCACGTTTGTTAGTTTGCAAATAGTGTAAACGATCAGATCTTTCAGAGCTCTTGACAATGATATTGACTAGAATTGTGTCATGGATATAACCCCAGCTGGATGATGGCTGGGAGGAAATGATTGTATACATAGCTTGAGTTCCCACCCAACAACATCTACCATATAAAGCTAAACTCCTAAAAATGTAACAGAAGATATCAATATAAAGGCCTAATTTTAACTAGTTGCATACTTAAGACCTAGAGTAAAATTCATAACTCGTCGTAGTCTCCTTAGCCAACCTACTCCTATAGTTGACTTATCTCTTTGCTTGAAGCCTTTTTTTTTCTTTTAAATAAAGAAACCCTTCTCAAACTACATAAATAATTGACTGTTTTCAATGAACAGAATCTAGAGGGGATCAGGAAATATGTCTCAGAGCATTTAAAAACACTTTGGGTTCTTTCCTCTATACTTAGGAAGTCATTATCGGTTGAAGTTGGGAGCACTTAAACTGTTTTCAAGTTTTAAAATACAGATGTTAAAAAAAAATTATTAGTTTACAAAACGATCCTTTTAGGAGTTGAATGTTATTCAGTGCTAATTATAACTTTTAATGATTGTAAAGTGCCCTGGGAGACTTTAATGAAGATTGCAAGACTACATTTCTACTATAAATTTTCTTTTCCCATACACAGAGTAAGGATAAAGAAAATGTGTTTGAACACCCAAAGGACAGAGCTAATTGCATAAAGTTCACTAAATGTTAACAGTTTCCTAGTGACCCAGGAGTCATGTAAGGGAATCACAAACACATGTTCTGAGAAATCTTTGGCAGAATTAGTTCTCTGGAGTTTAAAAAAAAGGGCTGAGAAAAATTTAAACAATGATATCTCTTGCTTAGCCTGTAATAGATGTTACTTAAGTCAAAAGTACTGGGGAAAGACACTATAATCTGTGATTCTATTAGGGTAACTTCCTGCTTGTTTCTAATTGACTTGCTGAAAACTGTGTGGTTTGCCAACAGTATACTTCTAAATTAAAATTGTTCACAAAATCTCAAAAGCCAGGGTCATTGGCATTGTAAGTTATAAGTTATATAATTAGTAGTCAAAGTACTCGTCCCTGAAAACATTATTTCTGGACTTAAAATACTTTATCTGAATTGCTTCATACAATGCTTCATTTGCACTCAATCATTTAACATTTCTTTCTCCAATTCTTTGCTCTCTTGTGGTTGCTGCAGTTCAAGAGGCTAAGTGGTGCCATTTCTCTTAATTCTTCTCGGATGTGAGCATCATGTTACAGACAGAAGAATAAAGTGTTCTTTCCTTTGGAACTAGAGCAAGGCCCTTTACAAGGTAAGTTATCTCTTCTACAGAATTAAATGGCTTATCAAATTAGGTAATTTATCTCTAAAGCTGATCACTTCAAGTAAGTAATGTTTATCTCCTGCTTTATTTCACCATTGATACTTAAGATTACAGATGGGGTTTCGATTTTTTAAAATATCCTTAGGATATCCCAAAGAAGTTTCTGTGGGATAGAAACTTTAATTTTAAATCTGTAAAATTATATTGGTGTTTTTGGAGGAAAGGAGAACGTGATTTATGGATGTGTCAAATGGGTGTAAAGAAAAATGTCTTCCATATTCAAATATTAATCCATCTGTGAATCCTCCCAGAGATTAAAGTCCAGACTGAACGTGACCACTAATTCCCAAAAAAACAAAAAAAGTGATCTTATCACTACAAGTGCTCTTGGCCTTGTTCTTGTAAGAGGTTTCAGGCATTTTGTCAATTTTCCAAATCAAACCAACAATTACAATACAATAATGGTCACAATTTAATGAAGACCTAATTGCCAGGAACTTCTCTAAAGCCCATCCCATACTCCTGGGCATATATCCAGAGAAAACTATAATTCAAAAAGATACATGCACCGCAGTGTTCATAGCAGCACTATTTACAGTAGCCAAGTCATGGAAGCAACCTAGATGTCCATTGACAGATGAATGGACAAAGAAGATGTGGTTCCATACAAATTGTGAATTTTTTTGTTCTAGCTCTGTGAAAAATGCCGGTGGTAGTTTGATAGGGATCGCATTGAATCTGTAGATTGCTTTGGGTAGTAGAGTCATTTTCACAATGTTGATTCTTCCAATCCAAGAACATGGTATATCTCTGCATCTATTTGTATCATCTTTAATTTCTTTCATCAGTGTCTTATAATTTTCTGCATACAGGTCTTTTGTCTCCTTAGGTAGGTTTATTCCTAGATATTTTATTCTTTTTGTTGCAGTGGTAAATGGGAGTGTTTTTTTGATTTCACTTTCAGAGTTTTCATCAATAGTGTATAGGAATGCCAGAGATTTCTGTATCCTGCTACTTTACCAAATTCATTGATTAGCTCTAGTAGTTTTCTGGTAGCATCTTTAGGATTCTCTATGTATAGTATCATGTCATTGTAGTGAGGTGGATGGACCTAGAGTCTGTCATACAGAGTGAAGTAAGTCAGAAAGAGAAAAACAAATACCGTATGCTAACACATATATATGGAATCTAAGGAAAAAAAAAAAAAAAGGTCGTGAAGAACCTAGGGGTAAGACGGGAATAAAGACACAGACCTTCTAGAGAATGGGCTTGAGGATATGGGGAGGGGGAAGGGTAAGCTGTGACAAAGTGAGAGAGTGGCATGGACATATATACACTACCAAACGTAAAATAGCTAGTGGAAAGCAGCTGCATAGCACAGGGAGATCAGCTCGGTGCTTTGAGACCACCTAGAGGGGTGGGAGGGAGGGAGACACAAGAGGGAAGAGATATGGGAACATATGTATATGTATAACTGATTCACTTTGTTATAAAGCAGAAATTAACACACCATTGTAAAGCAATTATACTCCAATAAAAATGTTAAAAAAAAACAATGGTAATAAATACTCAAAATTCATTATCTCCTTATTTTACTGCATTTTACTATAGGTTATGCTCTTCAGGTTATTTACATCTATTGTGTCTGTGTAGTCAAAATACTACAAAATAGTGGGAAGTAGAACACTTCTTCCCAACTCTGTATTCAGGGACTTCATATTGGAAGCTTGAACTCAGTCACGATGGTAGTATTACACCATAGAAATCAGCAAACGCTACAAATCAGGACTTGATATATTGTTTTGTCAATTGTTTCTAGACTTAAAAAAGGGATAGAGAAAATGCTAATAATGCAGATTAAACTTAAAAGTAGGTAATGTGTATAGCCATAAAAAAGAAAAGAAAAGAAAAAGAACATGTGGTATATATACACAATGGAATACTACTCAGCCATAAAAAAGAATGAAATAATGCCATTTGCAGCAACATTGATAGACCTAGAGATTATAACACTAAGTGAAGTAAGTCAGACAGAGAAAGACAAATACCATATGATGTCACTTATATGTGGAATCTAATATATGACACAGACATACTTAATTACAAAACAGAAATAGACTCACAGACATAGAAAACAAACTTATGGTTATCAAAGGGGAAAGGGGGTAGGGTAAATTAGGAGTTTGGGATTAGCAGATACAATTCCTATATATAAAATAAATAAACAACAAGGACCCACTATGTAGCACAGGGGACTGTATTCAGACTGTAAAAAAAAAAAACCATAATGGAAAAGAATATATGTATACATGTATAACTGAATCACTTTGCTATACACCAGAAACTAATACAACGTTGTAAATCAGCTATAATTCATGGGGAAAAAAAAGACTAATAGTGGACTAGATTTCTGAATTGATCCTTATATATAGATTGCACATTTCATTTTCTATAATTTCTACATTTATAGTAAAGTATGAAAATTGAGATTTTCTATACTTCAAGCAATCCATTTGCTACAATTAATTTCAAAAAAAATCTAAACTAATGTCTGGAGAGCTCTTCCTGGGCTGTGTAGGATAACTTTATCACTGAGTATGTGGTCTATGATAGGCAGGTTTTCCATAAAAAATTCATCATTCCAACGTCATGAAAACCAGGAAGCAGGCATAATGATAGTTGTATGCTATTTAACTGCTCTATTTCTTTTTCATTTTTTTTTTTTTCTTTTGGTTTTCTGAGAATAAGTGTGGAGAAACTGTGACTATTGATTAGGGGTAAATGTCAACATCCTATTATTAGTTTGATGTGTAGACAGACGATTGTATATGGAAAAGGTAGGCTTCCTTGAGAAATTGTGAACAAAGTCAAAAAAATATTATTCCAATTAAATGTAATTGATTTAAATTATTCTGTAATGATATATTTATAAACTATTTACACAGATTAAGAAAACTATTTTATTCTTTCACTCCTCTTGAAATTCTGACATGATGATTTTATACCTTGCTTTAGTTCAAACTAAATGTTGTTTTCAAAATTTTTTCAAGGTTAACATACTGGCAAACCTATCAGTTTTTAGAAAATTCTATGGATAATCATAGAATGCAAGACTAAGAAATAAATCTATGAAATATAATTTGTATGATGGAAACTTTTGTTTTCTGAAAGCTTCTGTTCACTACCTATTGTATCATATTCGATGATGATGAACACCTACGATTTCTAGAAAATGACATAAAAGGTACTCTTCCTTTTTCATTATATAGAGGGCATTCCTATCATTTTCCTTCTTTCTTCTAGTTTTATTCCTTTACCTTCTTACCAACTCCAAAGGTGTTTTTTCATTTGCTTGTTTACTTGTTGGGTTTGTTGCTCTATGTGTTTGTGTTATTGTTTTTATCATTCCTCTCATTAACTTTATTCCACCTAAGTGTGCTACAAAGTCAAAACTAATTTTCTAGATTCCATCCTAGAAAGCTGACAACATCCATTTAGTCCTTTGTGGGTATTTTAGGTTTTTCACATTCATCAGAAAAGAGCATTTACATATACACCCTATTATATTTAAAATAGATAACTAACAAGGACCCATTGGATAGCACGGGAAACTGTACTCAATACCTTGTAACCTATAAATGGAAGATAATGTAAAGAAAAGAATATACATATATATGTATAATTGAACCACTTTGCTTTATGTCTGAAACTAACACATTGTAAATCAACTATATTTCAATAACAATTAAAAAATTAATTTACAAATACCTTTTTCTATGTAATATATACCATGTATCAGGGCATAACTTGATGCATTTCTAATTTTAAAGACTCCCTGGACTTCCCTGGAAGTGCAGTGGTTAAGACTCCATGCTTCCAACGCAGGGGACATGGGTTCAATCTCTGGTGGCGGAACTAAGATCCCACATGTCACACTGTGCAGCCAAATTAAACAAAACAATATAAAAAGACTCCCTTTTCCTCAGGAGTAGAATGAAATAAACAGAAAGAGGAATATAGAAACACGGACCTATCACACTCAAATGATTAGAAGGAGACCTTCTCTTTGTACTCAGAATCTAAAGGTAAAGAAAAAGAGCTTAACATTAACAGTGCTCTTCTGCATAGCTTTTTAATTTTTTTTTCTGGAATGGGCTGCACTTGATAGGCTAAAAGTAAAGTATGGCAATATTTCATTATTTTCAAATGTGTTCTCTCTGATTTTACTGTCCCTAGTCGTAAACATATATCAGAAGGTATTTCTGTAATTAGAAAAAAATTGGGTTTACTTATTAAAACATCCAGTAGAGTCTAATAGATATTTTCTAAAAACTCAGTCTCGAATACCAGGCCAATAATTTGCCTTTCCACAACTCAGTTCTTTCCTTTGGTTCAGGAATCATCAGTGGCAAAGGAAGAGTGGTCCACTCTGCAATATTCCCTTTCCACCCCCTTTTCCCTTCTTATTATTCTAGGGTCTTGGCTGTGAGAGGACAGAAAGAAAGGTGCTAAGGTTATTTTATTTGCCTGTTGCTGTATTACTTATCTCTTTGGATGATATTTTCTGGCCCTGTGCCTGCTGTTGTTGCAGACACTCCTGTGGTTGCTTCACTGCATTTATGTTTACTTTTCAACCCTCTACAGTGACATACTGCCCAATTCTCTGACTTGGGACATGACCTCCCCCATTGTGATCTGTGACAGCACCCTCCCTCTCACTGTATGTTCTGTGGTCTGCCACACAGAATTTCTTACTTCTGAAGTTCCTCCACCCTGGTAACCCCTCCTAGGTTGGGTCCCTTCATAATGACTCAAGCCTTCCACTTCCGTGGACTTCACTTAGTCCATAGAATGCTACACATCCTACTTCCGCTAAATGGTGAAAGTACAATTTTCCAAGTGACAATCAGTCTCTTTATCCCATGTTTGCAAACTGTTGCAGCTTGCATTTAGTCTTTATATTTTTCACTTGATAAGCAGAACCAGCA